CCTCAAAGTTGCACGTCACTGTGGAGGCAGAGGCTGAGGCACGGGACATCACAGGGACTATGAAATGGAATATGCCGGCGCTCGGATGAAGAACCCCTTTTCTGCTGGACCTGGAACCCACAAGCCCTGCGCACGTCCAGGAACCCGCAAACTGCAACAGAAACACCATTTGGGCACCTTTTATCAAAAGCAACTCTGCATGTTGCGAGCGCAAGTGACGTTGATGGGGGGCGTGATGTGGACCCAAAAGCAGCGACAGTTCTGCACATGGAGGCACATGGAAAACTTGACGTGCTGGAGGGCGCTTAAAAGCCTCTCTAGCTTCTTAAGCGAGTCGACAATGAGCACGACCTCTCCAAAATCCACAGGCTTTCGGAGCCCACGGAGAGAGAGAGAGAGGCAGACCTGTGCCACGCCTAGACGAGAGCCTTGCGCCGTGCACAGTGCGAAGCCTGAACGATGAAACCCAACTATGCGCACCTTGCTTGAGGAGTACATCTAATGAAGCTGGCGTGCCTGCTACAAACCGTAAATAAACCCTGCAACCCCAATCACCCTGTGAACCCCAATGAAGTCCTGCAGGCTTCCTTTGCGCAAGGCCGCACTCAGTCGAGCCATATAGACGGGCTGCTGCTGCAGAATCCACACCAGCTCCTTCACAAGAACACAAAGGGGGGGGGATTTCAAAGCCAAGCTCATCTAAAACTAAATGGAACTCAAAGCCTAGCAGTGTACAACTTCAAGAAGCAGCCTGTTGAAGCAAACCTTTTACTCCGTGCCACACGGCATCTTGAGGAATGCTTTGCACGGGTCTATGAAGGCTTCTGGAGTCCAACTGTAAAGGCCTGCTGTTCACTAGGCCCAAGAGTAGCAACCTAGGAATCAAAAGGGCGCCTCTTTTTGGGTTTTAAAAAGGCGCTTGCAAGGGAACCTAAACCCGAAAGAAGGGAATAAGGGGCCTACTCTGGGTCCTAGTTCACGCTGCGCTTCGTCCTATCGCCGCCGCTCGAACCGCCATGCAAAGACAGAACTCCTCGAACTTCAGAAGCTTGCTTTTGATCTCTGCATCCGTCTTCACCTTCGAGCAGGGAGGTTCAGAGACTTCTAATCCTCGTACTTCAAAGCCATAAACCCCAAACCCTGGACCCTAAACCCTTTTTTGAACCCAGAACCCTAAACCCGTTTAAAGCACGCATTGAGGAGGCCCTAAAACCCTAAACCCTATATAAACCCTAAACGCAAGCCGGGCTCCGTGCCCAGTATGGGTTCTCCATCTGCGGGCCTTCGCCACTTCCGTCGAGGTTCAATGCCTGATATAAGTGAGCCGGGACAGATACCGGAGAGCAGTTAGAGGGTTTAGGGTTTAGGGTTTAAAGGGGAGGGAAACCAAAAAAAATCGAGAAGAGAATCCTCGACATCCTGCTACAGTGTGGTGGCTTGTGAACCATCACCAGAGGCGCGCGGCAATCTACAGGCTGATCCGACGGAGGCCCCGACGTAAAGAGTGCGGACGTAGTCCACCTGCGAGTGCAAGTGCGGCAGTCGCCGCATGGTAACCGCGACAGTACATGAAAGACATCAAGAAGAAGCAGCCCTAAACCCTGAACCCTAAACCCTAAACCCTAAACCCCAAACCCAAGAATAGCCAACCCACCTCCAGCTCCTTCCGAAGCTGGCGCAGCCTCAAGAGCGATCAGCTGAGATTCAGATGCACACTTCACCGCATTCCGACAGCCACGCCCCACAAAAGCCAACAAAGCCTTAGCATTGAGTGCTGGACGCGTACTCACAGGGGTCCGACCCTCAAAGGCAGTTGTGTTTGAAGAGACGTGCAAAATGTTGAAGATGCGCTGTCCAGAGTAATTAAGATGGGTGTTTAAGCTTCCTGCTGGAATCTGGCTTGTCCCACATCTTGGAGATGAAGTCCAGGTGGCTGTCACACACGCGATGCACCTGACAGTCGACATTGTTACAATCCCGAAACACTCTGCTCGGAGCATGCTGGAGACGTCGCAGCAGGCACAACACACGACGAAAGGCACGACGAACCTAGCTAACCACTATGGGGGCATGCCAGAAGAGGCAAAGCCGCATGACGATTCAACGCGATTCCCACCACCACCGATTGCATCCTACTTTCGCATCTTCTCAGATTCTCAGCTCTTGGAGCTCCTTTTGCTGAGACCGAACGGAAATCCGCCCGTCTCCTCCTCCAAAGGGAAAGCCTGGAAAGCCTGGAAATCTTGCAGAGCCCCCTTCCACCCTGGTCTTTCTGGTTTCCGGCACCAGCATCGAAACCAATGTTACCCTCCACCCCCGAGCCTGCTCCACCACCCCACCCCCCCAGCGAATTCAAGGATTGCAACACCAGTTCTGCACTTGCGTGCCATCGACTAGGTGACTAGGCCATCCCCCACAATAGAAAGGAAATGGCGGTAACCTTTGAGGCATCAAAGGTTGCTGGACTCCCTGGTACAACGTGTTCATGGCGCTCGATGAAAGTCGACATGATCCCCTGGTTCATGTGCATTCGGCTTGTCATGTTGAATGCAAATGGCCCAGGGCAGCTCATTTTGATTTTCACATAGCCTTTGCCCTCGAAGGCTTCTGCAACGGAAGCCACACTCGTCAGGATCAGCAACAGCACGGAAGGCTCGAGTGAGCTCATGCCGGGACTCTTGCCACACAACCGGCCAGGAACTTATCAGGCAGCTAGCTTTCAGCCGCAGTGTCACAGCATCCAGGTGACAGATAGCATATGGGCTATATCTATGTATGTATATATATATATATATGCTTTTTTTGTATGTGTAGCAGTTATGCTCTTATGAATTCACCACTTTGGAGATAAAAATATAGCGACTCGAGTGAATGACTGAAGCCACCCTCAATCGGTGAATGTGTGCACATGGGTGCACCTGGCGCTCGCGATCCTGCAGAGCCTTCAGCTTGCAGTCCTGAGCGCAGCAAAGGTTTAGGGTTTAGGGTTTCGTCGCTCACTCTCGCACAAGGCAGGCAAGGTCCGTCGGTCCGAAATAGGCTAAATAGGCTAATCGGAGCCCAAAGCCAAGCAGTTGCATGGGCCTCAAGGAAAGCCACAGGACAAGCAAGTCCCTATCCCCCCACCTCGGAGCTACTACATCGGCTCTAGGCTGCATTGAAACACATCAGAGTTGCATAGGGTTTAGGGTTTAGGGTTTCGACTCTCACACTCGCACAAGGCCTTGCAGGGTTTAGGGTTTGCTGTGAAATCGCGCAGAAGCTGTGAAGGTTGGGATGCAGACTAAGCTTCGAAAGCCTTGTAACATGCGAAAGGCAGCTTTGGCCCGATTGTGGAGGGCCATCTAACACTGTTCTCCCACCCCACGCCGTCTCAGGCGCCAAAACCGCCCAAACCTTTTAGGGTTTAGGCCTAAACCCAACTCAATTGTCAATTCTCTGCTTCCAACATACTTCCTCCGTTCAGGGTTGAGGGGCTACCTCCTTCTCATGTTTCGGCACTCGCCCAGCAAAGGCTGCTGTGCAACTTTAGTCGAAAGACTTCCCGGGGGCCGGGCTGGCTTTTCTTCGTAGAGCTTCCTCTGGCAGTCCAACCAGTTGCAGCCTCCGGAAGGTTCAAAGGGTGCGTCACTTTCTGCTCTGAAAGCTTCTCTGACAGGAGCTTTCAGCCCCGGAAGCCCTACTACTCAACCTAGAGCACGCTGAGAATCTTGCATGGTCTCTGAGGAACTGGCTGGGCTCATCGAGCTTCCCCGCGTCTTGCGTCACACCCTGATGGCTCTCCCTGACCATGGGCTTCCAGCGATCCTCCTTAGGTTTTCAGAGGTTTCATGACTAGGGGATCGGATTAAGGGGACCCTTGGGGATATAGACCCTCTGAATAAGGTCCCTGTTTAAGAGAGCCAGAAGAGGGTTATCCTACCTAGGAACGACGTGCAGCCACTGCCGGATACAAATCAGCTGGGACCCGAGGTCGGTGCAACTCGCATGGGCGGATAGACGCCTGGGCAGCACGTCAAGTCATGCAAAGCCAAGTTAGATCCGCATCCGACGCATCGTGGGCAGAGTTCGAGATGTCAAACCTCTTCGTCTTATTCTTATACTTTGCCTAATATGCGCTCATGTTATTGCAACAATATTTCAATATCTTGTTTCAGCGCAGTCTATTTTCTTAATAACCTTTTAATCTTATCTTCAATCCATTTTAATCTGATTGCGGCCACTTCCCGGTCCGCGTTCTCCTTTTTGTTCCGAACTCCGAAACAGCGAGGGGACGAGGCCATTGTCCAGAAATTGTGGCATTCGCAAACCAGGTCGGGGCTTAGGGTTCATAAGCACCACTCAGGGCTGTCGCTTCTCCACAGGGTACATCTGCAGTGCCAGAGTTCCGAGTTCGATGTTCTTGTCTGAAAAAACCAGCACCCAGATCGCGAGTTCGGACGCACTCAGATCGCATCGACTGCGATGCTCTCAAGGATGCGGTCTTGAATCCCTCGAGGCCATCAAGGGGTATGTTCAACCGTACAGAGCTTGGACGATGAGAGCCAAAACATGGCAACAGGGCAGCATCCCTGGGCTCTCAGAAAGGAGACACAAAAAAACAGAAATATGTAAATATGTATATATATATACATACATGTGTATATATACATATGTATAGATACATGAGTATATATATATATACATATATGTGTATATATGCGTGTAGATATATATATATATTGTTTATTTATTTATTCATTTATAAACATATGTGTATGTATATATATGTATATGCGTATATATAGCCACAAGCGTAAGACTTCGGCTTTGTGCAATGGTCTCCTCTTTCAATATTGCCTCACGTCATCGCACACCTGTCGACACCCTTTTCTGTGCTCGACTTATGCACAGCACGATGTCGCACCGTCTGGCGCAGTCTGGTTCGCGCAATAGCCTGTGAGAACCACGGCTGCAGGCCAGCGCGCCTACAACTGCTCCGCGACGTAGCTACCTCCACATCATTCAGCTCCGACACACTCGTCTTCCAACCACTTCCTTAGTAAAGACACGGAAGAGGCAGTGCGGACCAGGCATGCTGGGTTAACTTCCCGGTGCCTTCTTCCTAACAATATCGCCAACCGATCTTTGGCAGAGTCTGCGATGAAAGCAAGGACATACAGCAGAGAGCTCACGCTCCCATCCCAGCCTTGACCCTAATGAAATTCTTGAGTGCGAACTTTACACTCAGAAATTGGTCCATCAATAACCAGCTTTCGTTCATTCTTTCACTCACGTAGATGCTTTTGGGAAGTTTTGCTGGTACTCTCCATGGACGCTAAAGTGTCATGACACTGAGGAACTGCAAAAATAAAAGAAGTTGCTACAAGATAGAAACCCTGGTCTTAATTCGTCCCTTGATCTTGTCTCACTTTTTGAGCCTGACAGTATATATAGAAATATATATATATATATTCTTGGATAAATCAGTTTTATGAACTGTTAATGAAATTCTCAGCCGAAGTTCAAGTAGCCCGCATTGCCGCCAATGCTGGTCCACTGGACGGCCTGGCCCGCCTGAGCCTCGACCAGCGGCTTACACCTCAAGACCTCGGCTCTAGTCACGAGCTCGGTTTGAGAATGAAGAATAATAACAACAATAATAACTGTAAGAATACTCACTAATTAAGAATCATAAGAATGATGATAATAACAACAATAATAGTTCATACTAATAAGAATAGTTATAATCGTTAAAAGGAAAAACGTTATTGAAATCTCTTGCTGTCAGGCGACCGTCTTCACTGCCAAGCTCGTTGCTGAAGCTTGCGCGCAGGCGACGATGCGCTTGGCAACGAGCGTTTCCTTGGCTCAACGCAAGCGCTACCCGCTATAACGATTCTAATTATTCGTATTAGTATCAACTATTATTGTTGTTATTATCATTATTCTTCTGATTCTTAATTAGGCCTAGTAATCTGGCCCATTCTGCAGCGTTCCGCCTTGGCCTCCCCCTTTTTGCATGCGAGGCTTCAGCGACGCTGATGGCCTCCTCACCCCCAACGGCCAGGACACCTTTCCTGGACGAGAGCTGGGCAGTAGAGGTACACATGTACATCGGTATATATGTATATGCGCATGTATAAGCACATGCATGTATATGTCTGCGTGCATCCGTACGTGTTATGTGCATCATGTCTGCATGCTAATATAGCTCCTTTCTGAAAGAGAGGTGGAGAAAAGCTCATCCTATCATGGGGGGATCCTAAGCACACAGTGAACCCCTAAGGTTGTACCCATGGGCTTTGGGGTCCCTTCTTAAGGATCTTTAAGGAAATATACGGGCCATGTTAAAAGCAAATAAAGGGGGAACCTTTAGGAGTACAACCTTAGGGGTACGAGTCTTCATCCCCTTGAAGGCCGGTGTCCAGTGGGCGGGCTCTGCCGGGGGCTCGGGAAGGTCGTAGATGATCATGGGCAGATCATAGCTGTGAGCTTTCCTTGGCTGCTGAACCCTAAACCCTAAACCCTAAACCCTAAACCCTAAACCCTCCACATGGAACCAGGAGCTGAAGTCAGCACCCAGGCTCGACACCACCTCTTCAACCTTCGAGAACGGTGCCTCGATTGCTTGGAAAAGCCCTATAATTTGGGATGTTCCGCCTTGTGCTCACAGCCCTTAATAGGTTTAAGGTTTAGGGTTTTAGAGCTTAGGGTTTAGGGTTTAGGGTCCTTAACAGGGATTCGAATAGGGGCTGCTGTAATCCCTACTAAGGGCTGTTAGTCAAAGGGGAACATCCCAACCTCTGATTTGTAAGCTCTACATGATCGAAACAGTAGCATCATTAGCAAGAGCCTAACCCCCAAAAATTGCCGCCTTCCCCTTTGCCTCAACCCCAAACCCTAAACCCTAAACCCTAAACCCTTTTAAACCCTAAACCCTAAACCCTAAACCGCTTCAGCCGCTGACGGGGCGCGGAGGTCTTGATCGCAACTCGCCACTCGGGGTCGAAGTTCACTTTACCCTCCCACCAGTAATAGCTCTTCACCTCCTCGGTCGTTGCCTTGAAACGCAGAGATGCGAACTCCCCCCCCCCCCCCAAAAAAAAAAAGTGCACGTATAAGTAGTATAAGCCCTTTGAAACCCCCCTCCCCCTAAACCTCCAAGCCTCGGCATCTAGAGCTTTGCTGGCTTCCACGATCTTCTGAGCCTTCTCTGCGGCATCCTCCACTTGGGTTTTGTCAGGGTCAAAAAGCCAGCGCAAGGACTGAGGTGGAGTGTGGGGAAAATGGAGTATCTATGGGAGGGGAATGGTTAGTAGGGTTTGTGGGATTCAAAACCTTCGAAGACATTGGAGAGGACCTCCGCAGAAGGACCTCTGATTTAGAACAACACCAGCTGACTTGGCCAAGTCAGTGAAGGGTTGCGACCACACGTGGCCTCCGTGGTAAGAACCGTGATTGAAGGCGGCGCCTGATCGAAACAGGTCTTCCAAATCACGTGCCAGACCAGGTTAGCATATTTTTCTTGCAAAACACAGCACCTATTTCGGCCTATGAGCCCGTAGCCTCATCTCTTCTGAATAAGATCCTTCCCTTCAATCCAAGGTGCCATTTTCGCCGAAACTGCAAAGGGCCGAAGGGCGGCCAGTGTCTTCGGGCGACTCCAGTTCCACGGACCTGCTCTTTGGGTTTAGGGTTTAGGGTTTGGGGTTCAAGGTATAGGCTTTAGGGTTTAGGGTTTGCGCGTACTAGAGTCTCCTTGATGGAATATAGCAGGGTTGATGCCGAAAACACGACTTTCTGAGTAGACCGTCCTGCCCAAGTTACGAACGCAGAGAGAGCTTCCTGCTTGACAAGGCCCGCTTAGGTAGATCCACATACACCAGTCTTATTCGAGTGGCCTTCACAGCAGCAGGACTTGCGATTTAATTCTCGAGAATTTATGAGTTTTTTCCGGTTGCTCTAACCAAAAAAATAAGCCCATGGCTAAAGCGACCGGGATGCTTGAGGCCAAGAGCGCCAGTAGCGAGACTCGTCGCATTGAGAAGCTCAGCTCATGGTCTCCGCAGCTCAGGCGACGCTTTCGTTTGAGCCCAGTAAACCCAGAAGCAGACTCGTGTACCGTGCTCCCGAAGTCGAGTGGAGTCGCGCAGAGTAAGCACAAGGAGATCAAGAAGCAAGAGTCCCTCCCCCATTATGATTATTACTACTATCATCATTATTACTTTTTGCTATTGTTATTATCATTGTTATATTGTTGTATTGTTATATTGATACATTGTTATATTGCGATATTGTTAGATTGCGATATTGCGATATTGCGATATTGCGATATTGTTATATTGTTCTGTTGCTATATTGTTATATTGTTAGAGTTTTATAGTGTTCTTTTGTTATCTTGTTATCTTGCTATCTTGCTATCTTGCTATCTTGCTATCTTGTCATATTGTTATATTGCTATATTGCTATATTGTTATATTGTTATATTGTTATATTGTTATATTGTTATATTGTTGTATTGTTATATTGTTATTTTGTTATTTTGATATATTGTTATGCTGTTATACTGTTATACCGTTATATTGTTATATTGTTATTTTGTTACATTGCTATATTGTTATTGTTATTGTGGCGATTATTAGTCTTATACACCAAAAGGAGCTCTGAGGAGGAGGTCCAGCTGCATCTTCGGGGTTTGCTCACGGTGCTTCACATGATGTAGGGTATATATTTCTTGTACCCCCAAAAGGACACCAGGTACATACACTCACCAATATTCAAAAGGAACCTTCTATACACTCACCAATAACAGTAATATAAACCCTGTTTCACATGAGATCCTCTCAGGATGCTGCGGAGGTGTTTCGGGCCCGTCGTCTGCGTCCGCTCGGGTGGGAGGCCCTGGCCATGTTCAGGCATGCTCAACTTGATCCTAACATAGAAACCCTAAACCCTAACCCTAAACCCTAAACCCTCAGCCCTAAACCCTAAACCCTAACAGAGCATCCACCGAATGGCATCCTTATCTCTGGCCGGAGCTTCACAAGTTGCAGCTCGAGTACATCAACGGGCCTTGTTTCGCTCGCGAATCTGGAGCATCTCCAGCTTGTCATCGACCTGGACAGGCGCAGAGCTGCCACCCGATCGCATCATTCGGTCGAGAAAAAGCGCGCTCATCCACGCGACTCAGCTCAGGTCGTCCATCTGCAGGCCCAATCTGCCCGACCTTGAGCGCGAATGTGCGCGGATGTTTTGGGGGTCATGCGTCGCAGGATGAGTGTGGGGTGCAACGGCTCTGAAATCGCGCAAGGCCCTACGTTGGGCCCCAAGCCCGCTGAAGCCCCACGAATACACCACTGGCCTTGGCATACAGAAACGATCTGACATTCTGGCAGGCAGTGAAAAGCCCCTCCAACTGAATGACAGGCCATGCGTGGACAGATCTTGTCGCAGCATGCGCAGGAACCCACGCACGGAGCCGGCATCACACATCTACAGCTCTTGAGTTTTTGCTTCCTGCGCAGCTGGTTCGTGTGCAGCGCGCCGTCTCACCCCTTCTCTCGGCCAGCTAATCGTGTTGCTTACGCTAAGGGCAGGCAGGGGCACCTTTGTTGTTGGTAGCAAAGTCTACTGTACCGGCGCATCCACCTCAGGTACGCACTTGCTATAGCACAGCTTGGCAATGGCAAACCCTCCCCGAGCTCGCACATCCCAAAGACTCTGCGAGATAAACTCCTCACTGGATTCGCAAGATCAAGTGCTCGCCCGAATCGGTGGAGACGATGTCGGAGAGCTCCCCAACCTGGAGCGCAAAGGAGGCTTCCTGTCAGATCACGGAAAGCAACCGGCATGGGAGGCAAGACGCAGGTGCTAAGCTCAACTCTGCTTCTCTTCCTCTACAGCTTGTGCCCTCATGAGAGCGATGGCGCGAGCATGCACTTCGGAAACTTGCTGCTTAAGGCACGCACGCTTAGAGTGGAGATCTGTCCTCAAAGGCCTTCTGCATGCGCCCCTTGCCAAAGACGCCCAGATCCCCACCTGAGCTGATGTCGTGAAGCCCACATGCAGCACAACGACTCTTGGAAGACGGGGTTGCCAAAGTCAGCCAAATGTTTCGGCTTCACTATTCTATGAGGGAAAGCATGTTGCATGGAACAACCTACTGGCAAGCATCACAGAAGTCTGTGCACACCACGCCTTAAACACACAGCCCTTCCGCCTTTCTTTGCGGACCCGCAATCGGAATGCTCCTTGGCTAGGTCCTGCATCTGTGCTGCACGTCCCACAGCAGCTCGTGCTACTAATATTAAGAATACTCATAATATTAATAATATGAATCATCTTCATAATACTAAAAAGATTTCACAATACCAAAAAATATTAATAATATGAAACAACATTAAATAACATTAAACAATCTTACATAACATTAATAATATGAGTAGCAAGCAAGCAGTCCTGGAACTTTGTTTGAAGGTCCAGGGCATTCAAGCCTACCAAAGAGTCCGAGCTCCGGGGCTTGTGGAGAAAACCCTTGGGTCCAACACGACCCCTTACCTGCCACGAATATTATGAGTATTACTTAATATTGCTTAATACTAAGAAAATTACGAACATTATTCAATACTGTTTCATATTATTAGTATTAACTAATAATATGAAGACTACTCATGTTTTTGAATATTAAGAGCCCAGAGCCAGCAGAGGTATCTTGAGGTCCGTGTAGCTGAGGGCCCCTGTACCCTCTCAAGGGCCTTGAAGCTTCTGCCTCAGATCCTTCAAGAACTGGCCAGCCTGTCGCAGGGAGTACGACGGCAAGGTGTCGGAGTCTATGAGTGCACCATAGAGCAAGGAAACAGACACGTAAGGCTTGTCTCCGGCGCGCGCGTGAGGATGCGAAAGGCGGTGGCGTTCGAGCCACGCAAGCGGCTCTCAACTTCTAGATGCTTGCACGGGCAACAAAGCAAACAAGCTCGCCGCACCGATTTTCTACATGCGGGTGCCCGAACAGAGGGGACCCCCAAAAAAAGACAACCAAATAGTACAGTACAGTAGGGTTCCCTATTAATACAGACCCCAAGGAGATCCCCCCGAATTTTGGAAACCGCCACATTACGCCAGATGCGCCTCATCCTTGGAGCAGGTGATGCTTTCCTGCCGCCAGGAGGATGGCCGCCGTGAACCCTTGTGCTTGCGAATGATGTGGAGTACCTGCCCGCAACCGGCGGCACCAGGGGCCATCTGGGTTGCGCTCATTTACCATATACTACTAGACCGGTTCCTGGCTGCGAATAACTCCCTTGTAGAGTTGAACTCCCCCACTTCAACATCGGGCCTGGACCTCACCTGCCGCAAGAGTTTTCTGCTTCTTTGCCGGCGGAGGCTTCGGGGCATCCTCAACGACCTCCTGCAGAGCTGCGTCTACGTGAAAGTCGACAGGCTCATGGCTTCTCAAGAGGAACCGTGCCGAAGATGAAGGCTCAAGTCAAGATGGTCCTCACCGCAGGAGTGGATGGTGACCTGCAAAGGCAGCTTCTGCTTGAGATTCTCCCCCTTTACACTAACAGTCCTTAACAGGGATCATCATAGGGGGGCTACTATCATCGCCATTAAGGACTGTTTAGTACTCAAGGGGGAACATCCCCAAGCTACTGCGTTTAAGTAATAAGTCCGGTCATGGTAAACTCAGCGGCTGCCACCTTCTTCGAGGTCTTGCCGCTGCTTGAGCCGCACCTCTCCATCTTCTGGACCACCTCGTAGCCCGAGATAACCTGGAGGGTTGAAGGGCTCAGGGTTCAAGGTTCAGGGTGCATTATGGTGTGTTTTCCCACCCGGTTTACATGGGTTTAGGGTTCATGGTTTAGGGCTCCGATGACATGAGAGTTCCCCCACCCCCCCCCCCCCCCCCGTTTGATTGCTTCTCGGCGCCGCGCCTTACCAAAGACCACGTGCTTTCCATCCAGGTGGGGCGTTGCCTTTACGGTGATGAAGAACTGGGAGCCGTTCGTGTTGGGACCCGAGTTGGCCATGGAAAGCAGCCCTTTCTCCGTGTGCCTCATCTGGAAGTTCTCGTCTTTAAACTTGGCACCGTAAATCGACTCCCCTCCAGTGCCATCCCCCCGGGTGAAGTCGCCGCCTTGACACATGAATCCGGGGATGATCCGGTGGAAGACGCATCCTAGGAAGTTCAGTCGCTTCCCCATCTTCCCCTTGCCCATTTCACCGGTGCAGAGGGCCCGGAAGTTCTCAGCAGTTTTGGGCACCACATGTGCAAACAGCTCGAAGACAATCTTGCCGATTGGCTGGTTGTCCAAGGCAATCTCAAAGTACACTAATGGGTTCGGCGCCATGGCTAGACAGGGTCCCAGCTGCCCCCCTTCCTTGAGCCACTGCTTTACCAAAGATCTGACGACGATTCTGCAAGCTTCAAAGCCCTCATAGGAGCTTTGAGTCCTGGAAGTGCTACCGCTTTTTCAACTGCATTCAACTGTCCTGGAATTTTCCTGCTCGTCGAAGGG